TAGGATGGAGAGAAAGAGGGGCGGGAGATAAGCTGCCCAAACTAGACTGTTTTGGGGGCTGAAAAGAGTGACCTTTCCTTTGGGTCAGCTGGGATCTGGTGCATCTTGCCATTGGGATGGAGAGAAATGGGGGGAAATCATACTAGACCAGGCATGGGCCAACTTGGGCCCTCCAGGTGTTTTGGACTTCGACTCTCTCCATTCCTAACAGCCTCAGGCCCTTCCTTTGCCCTCAGCCGCTTAAGCTTGCTGTGGGAAAAGGAAAGGGCCTGAGGCTGTGAGGAATGGTGGGAGTCGAAGTCCAAAACACCTGGAAGGCCCAACTTTGCCCATGCCTGTACCAGACTATCTGGAAGTCCTGCAAAGAGTGACCTATGCACACCTTTCCTTTTGGTCAGTCAGACTCAGGTGCCCTCTGCCATTGGGATGGAGAGAAATGGGATACAAATGGCCCCACACCAACTAGATCATCTTGGGTCCCCAAAAATGAGCTAAGCACACTTTTCCTTGAGTCAGATGCTCAGGAGCATCTTCTCATTGGACGGGTTAGAGAGAAATGGGAGGAAATTATTACTATACCATTCACGGTCCCACAAAGGGTGACCAATACACATCTTTCCTTTGGGTCACCTGCACTCAGGTATACGTTGGGATGGAGAAGTGGGGCAGGGAATGGACTCACCCCAATTAGGCTGTCTTTGGTCCCAAATAGAGTATCACCCCAATTAGGCTGTCTTTGGTCCCAAATAGAGTACCCCCCCCCCCCCGACACATACTTTTCCTTTTGTCAGCATGTTGTCATTGGGGTGGGATGGAAAGAAGGAGGGGGGAATAATACTATACAGTGGCGCAATGGGTGAAACCCTTGTGCTGACTGGATTGCTGGCCTGAAGGTTGGGTTGCTGACCTGAAGGTTGCCGGTTTGAATCTGCAAGACAGGGTGAGCTCCCGTCTGTCAGCTCTAGCTTGCGGGGACATGAGAGAAGTAGGGGAGATGAACCCACCCCAAAGAGAGCATCTTGGGTCCTGAGAAGCGTGACTCAGACACATCTTTCCTTTGGGTGAGATGGACTCAGGTGCATTTTGGGATGGAGAGAAATGGGACATACATGCACACATACTAGATCATGTAAGGTCCTGCAAAGAATGACCCATGCACACCTTTCTTTTGAGGTGCACCTTGGGGTGGAGAGAAATAGGGAGGGCAAAGGAACTAGACATCTCCAGTCTGAAAAGAGTGACCCACCTACCCATTTCCTTGAGACACACCTGCCCAAATGCCCAGCCACGCATCATGTCCCAGACCCATGATGTAAGGTCCTACAAAGAGTGACCCACGCACATCTCTCCATTGTCCTCAGCTGCACCTTGGGATTGAGAGAAATCAGCAGGGCAAAAGACACTAGACATCTCTGGTCCCAAAAAGAGTGACCCACCCACCCATTTCCTTGGGACACTCCTGTCCAAATACCCAGCTACACATCATCACTCAGACTCACACACACATACTAGATCATGTAAGGTCCTGCAAAGAGTGACCTGTGCACGTCTTTCTTTTAGTCTCAGGTACACCTTGGGATGGAGAGAAATAGGGAGGTCAAAGGAACCGGACGTCTTCGGTCCTGAAAAGAGAGACCCACCCACTCATTTCCTTGGGACACACCTGCCCAAATGCCCAGCCACGCATTGTCTCCCAGACCCATCATGAAAGGTCCTACAAAGAGTGACCCATGCACACCTTTCCATTAGCCTCAGATGCACCTTGGGATGGAGAGAAATAGGGAGGAGGGGGTGAAGGAACTAGATATCTCTGGTACTGAAAAGAGTGACTCACCCACCCATTTCCCTGGGACACACCTGCCCAAATGTCTAGCCATGCATCATCTCCCTGACCCATCATGTAAGGTCCTGCAAAGAATGACCCGTGCACACCTTTCCTTTGGCCTCAGGTGCACCTCGGGATGGAGAGAAATAGGCAGGGCAGAAGACACTAGACATCTCCGGTCCCAAAAACAGTGACCCACCCACCCATTTCGCAAATGCTCAGTCACGCATCATCTCCCAGACCCATCATGTAAGGTCCATCCTCTCCTCAGACCAATTATGTAAAGTCCTGCAAAGAGTGACCCATGCATTTCCTTTGGCCTCAGGTGCACCTCGGGATGGAGAGAAATAGGGAGGGCAAAGGAATAGACATCTCTGGTCCTAAAAAGAGTGACCCACCCACCCATTTCCTTGGGACACACCTGCCCAAATGTCTAGCCACGCATCACCTCCCTGACCCATCATGTAAGGTCCTGCAAAGAGTGGCCCATGCACATCTTTCTTTTGGCCTCAGGTGCACCTCGGGATGGAGAGAAATAGGCAGGGCAGAAGACACTAGACATCTCCGGTCCCAAAAACAGTGACCCACCCACCCATTTCGCAAATGCTCAGTCACGCATTATCTCCCAGACCCATCATGTAAGGTCCATCCTCTCCTCAGACCAATTATGTAAAGTCCTGCAAAGAGTGACCCATGCATTTCCTTTGGCCTCAGGTGCACCTCGGGATGGAGAGAAATAGGGAGGGCAAAGGAATAGACATCTCTGGTCCTAAAAAGAGTGACCCACCCACCCATTTCCTTGGGACACACCTGCCCAAATGTCTAGCCACGCATCACCTCCCTGACCCATCATGTAAGGTCCTGCAAAGAGTGGCCCATGCACATCTTTCTTTTGGCCTCAGGTGCACCTCGGGATGGAGAGAAATAGGCAGGGCAGAAGACACTAGACATCTCCGGTCCCAAAAACAGTGACCCACCCACCCATTTCGCAAATGCTCAGTCACGCATCATCTCCCAGACCCATCATGTAAGGTCCATCCTCTCCTCAGACCAATTATGTAAAGTCCTGCAAAGAGTGACCCATGCATTTCCTTTGGCCTCAGGTGCACCTCGGGATGGAGAGAAATAGGGAGGGCAAAGGAATAGACATCTCTGGTCCTAAAAAGAGTGACCCACCCACCCATTTCCTTGGGACACACCTGCCCAAATGTCTAGCCATGCATCACCTCCCTGACCCATCATGTAAGGTCCTGCAAAGAATGACCCGTGCACACCTTTCCTTTGGCCTCAGGTGCACCTCGGGATGGAGAGAAATAGGCAGGGCAGAAGACACTAGACATCTCCGGTCCCAAAAACAGTGACCCACCCACCCATTTCGCAAATGCTCAGTCACGCATCATCTCCCAGACCCATCATGTAAGGTCCATCCTCTCCTCAGACCAATTATGTAAAGTCCTGCAAAGAGTGACCCATGCATTTCCTTTGGCCTCAGGTGCACCTCGGGATGGAGAGAAATAGGGAGGGCAAAGGAATAGACATCTCTGGTCCTAAAAAGAGTGACCCACCCACCCATTTCCTTGGGACACACCTGCCCAAATACCCAGCCACACATCATCTCCTAGACCCATCATGTAAGGTCTTGCAAAGAGTGGCCCATGCACATCTTTCTTTTGGCCTCAGGTGCACCTTGGGATGGAGAGAAATAGGCAGGGCAAAAGACACTAGACATCTTCGGTCCCAAAAACAGTGACCCACCCACCCATTTCCTTGAGACACACCTGCCCAAATGCCCAGCCATGCATCATCTCCCAGACCCATCATGTAAGGTCCATCATCTCCCCAGACTCATCATGTAAGGTCCATCATCTCCCCAGACTCATCATGTAAGGTCCTGCAAAGAGTGACCCATGCACACCTTTCTTTTGGCCTCAGGTGCACCTTAGGATGGAGACAAATAGGGAGGGCAAAGAAACTAGACATCTCTGGTCCCAAAAAGAATGACCCACACATCCATTTCCTTGGGACACACTTGCCCAAATGCCCAGCCATGCATCGTCTCCCAGACCCATCATGAAAGGTCCTGCAAAGAGTGACCCATGCACACCTTTCTTTTGGCCTCAGGTGCACCTTAGGATGGAGAGAAATAGGCAGGGCAAAAGACACTAGACATCTCCGGTCCCAAAAAGAGTGACCCACCCACCCATTTCCTTGAGACACACCTGCCCAAATGCCCAGCCATGCATCATCTCCCAGACCCATCATGTAAGGTCCATCATCTCCCCAGACTCATCATGTAAGGTCCTGCAAAGAGTGACCCATGCACACCTTTCTTTTGGCCTCAGGTGCACCTTGGGATGGAGACAAATAGGGAGGGCAAAGAAACTAGACATCTCTGGTCCCAAAAAGAATGACCCACACATCCATTTCCTTGGGACACACTTGCCCAAATGCCCAGCCATGCATCGTCTCCCAGACCCATCATGAAAGGTCCTGCAAAGAGTGACCCATGCACACCTTTCTTTTGGCCTCAGGTGCACCTTAGGATGGAGAGAAATAGGCAGGGCAAAAGACACTAGACATCTCCGGTCCCGAAAAGAGTGACCCACCCACCCATTTCCTTGGGACACACCTGCCCAAATGCCTAGCCACACATTATCTCCCAAGACCCAGCAGATGCTTCCCACTCCCAACATGCAAACACATACACAGAGAGACAGAGAGAGAGAAAGACATGTGGCTGTGGACCGCCGGCGGTCGTCTGGTGTTGGTGGCATCGGTGCCAAGCATTTTGCACACATTTTGCACACATTTTGCATGCATTTTGCAGGCACAGAGAGCCAGGGATGGAGAGGCAGGTGGTACCCAGACCATCCAAGCATCCCTCTTTCGGCTGGCTTCCCATCCCACCCACTCCTTTGCACACCCCACCACCTCTCCCCTCTGCAGCCCATTTCTCCTCCCTCCCTGGCATGGACCAAATGCCATCCTTTGCCAGAGAAACCCCTTCAATCTGGGGAGATGGAGGGAGAGGAGGAAGCAATCCTTCACCCTCTTTCTTTCCCCCTTTCCTTCTCCTATTATCCTTTCTGCCTGTGGTGGAAGGAAGCAGGGAGGGAGGGAGGGGGGCACCCTGATCCTCATGCCACCACCCCCCAGATGTGGGGCACCCACTCACCATTTGATAGGCTTGTGCACAGCTGTAGCCATTTTGACACGGGATGCAAAAGAAATCCCTCTGCCTGGATGCTTGGAGAAGCAGGCAGAGAGAGAGAGAGAAAGAGAGAGAGAGAAATTCCCCCCCTTTCTTTTCTTTTCTTTCTTTCCCCCGTTTTTTTTTTTTAATACCTCTCACATCAGAATATACTGTACAATTTTATTCATTCTCCAGCCAGCCTGCAAGGGAGGGAGGGGGGCCCAATCACAGCCCAGCTCCTTTGAGCCCCGGTGCACCATGGGGAATGTAGTTCTCTGGGCTGGGCACAGCAGAAACCTCCCTCCATGCACACTTCTCTCTTTTTTGCATTATTATTTCTTCTTCTTCTCTCTCTCCCCTCCTCCCTCTTGCATAGCAGGGAAAAGGGATGCCAGGCAGCTGCTGCCACTAAAGGGACTACGATTCCCAGAGGGCTTTGCCTTTGACAGCTGTGAGGTCCACCTCCAAAATGCAAAAAGGGAGGAGGAGGGGGAGGAGGAGAGGATGGGGGTTTTTTCCAAAAGGAGGAGGGGGGGGGGAATCAGGAGAATGGAAGGGGGCGTTTTAATCCCAATACGAATTGCATTGCAAATTGAAAGATCCTTTTGGTGGAATTGCTTTCCTGGAGAGAGAGGAGAGCCAAGCTAGAGAAAGATTGCACTCCTATCCACCCTCTCTCTCTCTCTCTCTCTCTCTCTATATATATATATATATATAGTGGGGTTTTCTGCCCTTACACACATACACACACTCACATACATACATATATATTTCTTGGGAGATCTTCCTATTCTGTGACAAGAAATTTCCTTTCTTTCCCACCCAGATCCCCAAATAAATCCCTTCTCTACACCAGTATACACATGCACACACACACACACAAATATATACATACATACATACATACATACATACATACATACATACATACATACATATAGGTGTAGAGAAGGGATTTATTTGGGGATCTGGTTGGGAAAGAAAGGAGATATATATATCCCTTCTCTATACCTCTCTGTGTGTATGTGTGTATATATATGTGTGTGTGTGTGCATGTGTATTTGGGGATCTGGGTAGGAAAGAAATGTGAATTTTTTTTTCATGGAAAAATAAGGCATCCCCTGATAATAAGACCTCGCACATGTGGACACGACTGGACTGGACTTAATGTCAGGAGAAAACATTTACCTATATATATATATATATATATATATATATATATATATATATATCCTTTATTTCCCACCCAGATCCCCAAATAAATCCCTTCTCTACACCTGTGTGTGTGTGTGTATATATATATATATATATATCCTTTATTTCCCACCCAGATCCCCAAATAAATCCCTTCTCTACACCTGTGTGTGTGTGTGTATATATATATATATATATATCCTTTCTTTCCCACCCAGATCCCCAAATAAATCCCTTCTCTACATCTGTGTCTGTGGAAGCAAAGAAGGAGATATATATATATATATATAATATATATACAAGCCAAAACACACACACACACCACACACAAAGGTGTAGAGCAGGGATTATTTGGAGTCTTGAGAGTAGGAAAGGATATAAATAATATATATATATATATACACACACACACACACACAGTCTAAAAACATTCACACAGGTGTAGAGAAGGGATTTATTTGGGGATCTGGGTGGGAAATAAAGGATATATATATATATATATATATATATATATATAGGTAAATGTTTTCTCCTGACATTAAGTCCAGTCCAGTCGTGTCCACATGTGCTAGGTCTTATTATCAGGGGATGCCTTATTTTTCCATGAAAAAAAAAATCACATTTATTGTTAAACAAACAAAAAAGAATGTTTATTATATATTGTACAGTAGTTGTCAGTAGGTAAAAGTAAATGTTTTCCCCTGACATTAAGTTCAATCGCGTCCGACTCTGGGGGTTGGTGCTCATCTCCATTTCTAAACCGAAGAGCCGGCGTTGTCCACAGACACCTCCAAGGTCATGTGGCCGGCACGACTGCAAGGAGCATGGTTACCTTCCCGCTGGAGCAGTACCTATTGATCTATTAACATTTGCATGTTTTCGAACTGCTAGGTTGACAGAAGCTGGGCCTGACAGTGGTAGCTCATGCCGCTCCCCGAATTTGACCCTGTGACCTTTTGGTCAACAAGTTTAGCAGCTCAACGGTTTAACCCCTGTGCCACCAGGGGGGTGGGGTACTCCATATATATATATATATATATATATATATATATATATATATATAATAAAACAGGTGTAGAGAAGGCATTATGTGTGTGTGTTTTAGGATATATATATCCTAAAACAAACATACACACACAACCTCTGAGGATGCTTGCCACAGATGCAGGCGAAACATCAGGAGTGGATGCTTCTAGAATATGACAATACAGCCCGAAAAACCTACAACACCCCAGTGATTCCGGCCTTAAAAGCCTTTGACAAGAAATTGGCCTTCTTTATTTTCCCCTCTCACACCTCAAAATGAATGGAAGGAGACAAACTTCCAGCTTCCAGACAGGCAGACCCAAGCTCTTTGGAGATTTCAGGAAACAGCCTCAAGTCCTATTATGCAAGACTGCTATTAAAAGGTCTGGGGAGACTTTGAAGGGCAGAAGGTGTGTCTGTCCTCAAAGGCTTTTTAAATTGTGGGATTTTGGTTCGATTCTTCCATAACTCTGAATGGAACAATGAAGGAAGGGGACCTTCAGAGATCATCTAGTCGAGCGTTTCTCAACCTTCAGAGATCAACTAGTCGAGCCTTGGGGGGGGGGGGGGTCACCAAAGATCAGAAAACACAGTATTTTCTGTTGGTCATTGGTCATAGGGGTTCTGTGTGGGAAGTTTGGCCCAATTCTATTGGTGAGGTTCAGAATACTTTTTAATTGTAGGCAAACTATAAATCCCAGCAACTGCAACTCCCAAATGTCAAGGTCTATTTTCCCCAAATTCCATCAGTGTTCACATTTGGGCATAATTAATATTCGTGTCAAGTTTGGTCCATATCCATCATTGTTTGAGTCCATGGTGCTCTCTGGATGTAGATGAACTACAACTCCAAAACTTAAGGTCAATGCACAACGAACCCTTCCTGTATTTTGTACTGGTCATGGGAGTTCTGTGTGCCAAGTTTGGTTCAATTCCATCGTTGGTGGAATTCAGAATGCTCTTTGATTGTAGATGAACTATACATCCCAGCAACTACAACTCCCAGATGACAAAATCAATCCTCCCCAACCCCAGCAGTATTCAAATTTGGGCATATTGGATATTGGTTCCAAATTTGGTCCAGTGAATGAAAATACAGCCTGCATATCAGATATTTACATTATGATTCATAACAATAGCAAAATTACAGTTGTGAAGCAGCAACAAAAATAATTTTAGGTTGGGGGTCACCACAACATGAGGAACCGTATGAAGGAGTTGCGGCATTAAGAAGGTTGAGAAACATTGATCTAGTCTGACCTGCTGCTGATGCAAGACATGGAGAGGGCAGCCTTCGTGCTTTTGCTCACTTTTGGACCAAACTTGATACAAATATAAAATATGCCCAAATGTGAACACTGGTGGAATTTGGGGAAAATAGACCTTGACCTTTGGGAGTTGTAGTTGCTGGGATTTATAGTTCACCTACAATCAAAGAACATTCTGAACCCCACCAACAATAGAATTGGGCCAGACTTCCCACAAAGAACCCCTATAACCAACAGAAAATACTGGGTTTTCTGATAATTTTTGGTGACCCCCCCCCCCGAGGTCCCAACCCCCAGGTTAAGAAACACTGGACTAGATGATGTCTGATGGTCCCTTTCCTTCATTGTTCCAGAGTGAAGGTCAGCTCCTCTATATCCCCAAATTAGGAGAAAGAAGCTGGAGTGCTTAGCACTCTGTACATGCTCAGAGCACCCCTTCCTACTCTTTATTCTGTGCCCAGGTGAGCCTTTGAGTGCATCAACACTGTAGAATGGATGCAGTTTGACACCACTTGAACTCAATGCTGTGCAAACCAAGGTCTTCTCTGCTGATGCCTCATCAAACAATACCTCCAATTATTCCGTTATCAAGCTGTGTTAATTTCTATAGTGTAGATGCACCTCTACTCACTCATTGGCTGTCTTGAGCAAAATGGGTGATGATGGTTCAAGCAATCTCAATATCAACCCTGCAAAGTCCTGGGGGGGGGGGGGGGGCATTTGCATACTTTGATGCAAAAATCCTTCTTAGCATGTAGTTTGGATATTTTGTTGTTGATGATGTTGCTGCTGCTGCTGCTGCTACTGCTGATTATTATTATTATTATTATTATTATTATTATTATTATTATTATTATTATACAACCCAACAAATTAAAATAATGTGTCTTGAGTTTTAGGCCTCTTTCTGGGGTTCTTTGGGGCACTGATTCAGATAACTCAATTAGATAGACCGCATCGGCTTTTGTTTCTTCGATATGGTTAGCATGGTTTTCTATGGGCGAGCAGATGGCGACTGGTAGATGCCGTATGTTCTGCATCTCGGAAACTCGAGCTGATAGGAGGAAACCGGTGGCATTTTTGGAATTGGCAGGTCAAATATACATCGAAACAGGGCTAACATTTGAGGCATCGAAATGCATGCTATTATTATCGGGAAGAAAGCTTTAAAACATTGCAAATAGTGCTTCTTGTTTTATCCCCTCCCCAATCCAGACCAGCAAGAGCACTCTCTCCACTCCAGAACAAAGCAATATATGTGTACAGTTTCTGCTTGATGCAGGAACATGTGAATGGCTGCTTCCCAACCCTGGTTATATATGTTTCCTAATTATGCAGTTATTTTCCGTGCTCTTCCTTCCTTCCTTCCTTCCTTCCTTCCTTCCTTCCTTCCTTCCTTCCTTCCTTCCTTCCTTCCTTCCTTCCTTCCTTCCTTCCTTCCTTCCTTCCTTCCTTCCTTCCTTCCTTCCTTCCTTCCTTCCTTCCTTCCTTCCTTCCTTCCTTCCTCTTCCTTCCTTCCTTCCTTCCTTCCTTCCTTCCTTTCTCCTTCAGTCAATGAATTCTCCCTCTCCTTCAATTCCTGGCAGCCAGAGATAGAGTCTCCTCGCCCCCGCAATCTCTCTATCCTCAGCCCCTTTCTCCCTGACTACTTCTTCTTTCAAGGATAGAAAATAAGCACTGGGCTTTGCAGGGGAATCAGGCTGGCAGGATTTCCCCTGCGTTGGCAAGGGGAGGGATTGCATTGCCTCCCTCCACATCAGTGTTTTCCACACTCTG